AAAGTTCTATGATTATGTATCTAGGATTAGATATAACTGATCATTATGAATATTCTTAGTGAAAGAGGAGGATCACACTCATCCATCCCAGGGGACCACACAGAGGCAGGCTGGCACAGGAGAAAGATTATTATAAGGTTTATTAGAAGAGCCATATTTCCCCCAAGAGGGAACACATGGCCTCCGTCCCCATCCAGGCAGCAGGAGGGTCTGAGAGATAGAAGTGAGGTAGATGGGAGTTCAGGTGGATCTGGATGGAGAGAGGGAGGAGCCAGCTGTATGGAGTGAACTCCAGGAATGGGAGGGTGGCCCAGGTCTGGGTAGAGCTGAAGACCAAGGGTGAGCATAACACTAACACTTAGTACTACAGCATTTTGGGTTATTGTTGGGCTTTTTTTTAGAGGTACTTGAGAATGTAGCTATAATCTTTCTTCATGAGTATTATACTCTGTAAGGCATTTTATCTTAGTAGTAGGTCCCTGAAGGCTAAGGGAGCATACATCTAGACTTGAAATCATCTTTACTTCATGATGATTCTAATTTGTATGTTATTTTGAGTTGATTCTGGTCTCTCAGGCATTTGATGAGCATAGAAACCACCTGTATGATTATTCTCATCTAAAGATTTATATTAATCATTCATTATTATTGTGCTGCTCCTAGGACTTAAAATCAGGGTCTAGGCCCTGTTCCTGAATTTTTTTTGCTTAAGGACAGTGGTCTACTACTTGTGTGACAGCTTCACTTTCAGCTTTTTGGTAGTTAATTGGAGATAGCCACTCATAGACTTTTCTGCCTGGGCTATTCTCCTCAGATCTCAGCATTCTGAATAGCTAGGATTATAGACATCAGCCATCCATGCTTGGCTCTAATCCTGTTATCTTGAAAATCCTTAGCGATGAGCTGGGAAGGTAGCTCAGTGGTAGAGCGCTTGCCTTGCATGCTTGAGGCCCTGGATTCGATTCCTCAGCACCACATAAGCAGAAAAAAAAAAGCCGGAAGTGGCACTGTGGCTCAAGTGGTAGAGTGCTAGCCTTGAGCTGAAGAGCTGAGGGACAGCGCCCAGGCCCCACGACCGGACCCCCCCCCCAAAAAAAAAAGAAGAAAATCCTTAACAAATATATCTGGATTCAGATACAAGATGCAATTTTTTCTTTAGCAGTATATTGATCTCAAAGCCTGGTGCTGGAGACTCATGTTTGTAATCTTTTTTTTTTGTCAGTCATGGGGCTTGAACTCTGGGCCTGGGTGCTGTCCCTCAGCTCTTCAGCTCAAGGCGAGTGCTCTACCACTTGAGCTACAGTGCCACTTCTGGTTTTCTGGTGGTTTATTGGAGATAAGAGTCTCACAGTCTCTCCTGCCCGGGCTGGCTTTGAACCTCTATCCTCAGATCTCAGCCTCCTGAGTAGCTAGGATAACAGGCATGAGCCACCAGCACCCAGCTTTATGTTTGTAATCTTAGTTATTCACAAGGCTGAGATCTGAGGATCATGGTTCAAAGCCAGCCTGGAAAGTCTATGAGACTTTTTTTTTTTTTTTTTGCCAGTTCTGGTACTTGTACTCAGGGCTTGGGCATTGTCCCTGAGCTTCTTTTGTTCAAGACTAGCACTCTACCACTTGAGCCACAACATCACTTCTGGCTTTTTCTGTTTATGTGGTACTGAGGAATTGAACCCAGGGCTTCATGCATGCAAGGCAAGCATTCTACCACTGAGTCACCTTCCCAGCCCTCTTGAAGCTTATTTTGATAAGTATACTTTTAAAATTTTTTTTTTTTTTTTGAGGGAAAGCTGGGCACTGTCCCTCAGCTCTTCAGCTCAAGGCTAGCGCTCTACCACTTAAGCTACAGCACCACTTCTGGCTTATTTCTTTTTGCTTATGTGGTGCTGAGGAATCCAACCCAGGGCCTCAGGCATGCAAGGCAAGCGCTCTACCACTGAGCCACCTTCCCAGTCCCGGTAAGTATACTTTTATAAGATCATATGCACATAGCTATTGAGCCCTTGTGATCCTCTCCTAAGAGTATCTTTCTTTGGTCTCACTGTGTGAATGTCTAGAGTCCTGTATAATTTGTCATGTCCAAGTGTATTTTTTTGTCTTTTACTATCCAATGTATTTACTTGTACATTTATAGGCACATTCTAGTTACAAAAATGAGGGAAAACATGCAACCTGTGTTTCTTTGGGTCTGGCTTACTTTGCTTAATGTAAGTTTTTCCATGTCTTGGGCTGGGAAAGTGGCTCAGTGGTAGAGTGCTTGCCTTGCATGCATGAGGCCCCAGGTTCGATTCCTCAGCACCACATAAGCAAAAAGCAAAAAAAAAAGCTGGAAGTGGCGCTGTGGCTCAAGTGGTAGAGTGCTAGCCTTGAGCTGAAGAGCTGAGGGATAGTGCCCAAGTCCAGAGTTCAGGCCCCACAACTAGACCAAAAAATAATTTTTTCCATGTCTTTCCACTTCTTTATGAATGATGCAATATCATTTTTTCTAATGGAAGCACAGAATTCCATTATCTATCTATCTATCTATCTATCTATCTATCTATATATGTATGTATCTATATATAGCAAATTTTTTTTATGCATCCATTGAGGGGCATCTGGGTTGATTCTGTATCTTGGCTATGGTAAACAATGCTGCATTGAACATGTTTCTACCATTGTTATTATTATTATTTATTTTTGGTGGTACTGAGGTTTGAACTCAAGGCTTTATACTTGCTAAGGAGGCATTCTATTATTTGAGTCCTACTCCCTGTTCTCCTACATCTTAGATACAGTCTACTTCAACTTCACCAGTCATCGTTCCAAGGCCATTTTCTCTTTCAGCTTTTCAGAAGGAAACACAAAAGCTTGTAATCCAAACTGTAATCCAGAAAGGCTGGGCAATATAGTGAGATCTCATCTTAAAACACACACACAGCCGGCCGCTGGTGGCTCATGCCTGTAATCCTAGCTACTCAGGAGGCTGAGATCTGAGGATCGCCGTTCAAAGCCAGCCCGGGCAGGAAAGACTGTGAGACTCCTATCTCCAATAAACCACCAGAAAACCGGAAGTGGCGCTGTAGCTCAAGTGGTAGAGTGCTCGCCTTGAGCTGAAGAGCTGAGGGACAGCGCCCAGGCCCAGAGTTCAAGCCCCACGACCGACAAAAACACACACACACACTCTCTCTCTCTCTCTCATGCTCCAAAACACCAACTACTCCAATAGTAACTAGTACCAAAAGTCATTTCAAGTTAGAAAAACTTCTCCCCAGTACCAAAGGAAAGACAAACTAAAAAATAAAAATAAAGTCCTCATGTTAAATTGGTGGCCCCACAGAACCACGCCTTTGCAATCTGAAAGATACCTTGGAATTATCTCTTCCCTTTTATATAGGCTGGCCGTTTGACTTGTTTTCACCTACAGAATATGGTGGAAGTGTCAGTTCTTGACATAAGACTTAAAGAAGGCCTAATGACTTTCACTTTTGCCCTTTTGGAAGCTTCAAGTCAACATATCATAAGTCTGACTGTCCTGCTTGGGAGATTGTGAAGAAAAGCTACACAGATGTTAGATCTAGGAGTACAAGGAGCCGCTCCACACTTTCAGCTGAGGCAGCTCCTAATATGTTCTAGGGTCATTGAAAAGAACAGCAAAATAGCTGCAATTATTATAGCCCAGATTGCACAACTGAGTAAATAAAATAGTTCTTGTGTCAACTCATAGATTTTATGATAGTGATTTGTTGTGTAACACCTAGAAAAAACTTTTCATAGAATACTACTGGTACACTTGGTTCTGCATAAGATTTCTGCTGACGTCTCATTCCTTATTCTCTGCTCTCTCCAACTGTCAAGGCAACAGTTTGCCAGAAAATTTTGCATTAATTTCTACATATGCACAAATCATTTCTGCTTTGTTTTCATGGCGCTAGGGAATCTAACTTCATGCTAAAAGCACACTGTACTTCCAATTACTCCATCTCTCAGTTTTGATATTAGGAAGTTCTTGGTCTTGGGAAGTTCATTAGTTCTAGCTTATTGATTGTATGTCTTTAGGAGGTAGGGGGGTCCTGGAGTGTGGTGTAGATGGAATCTAGGGCCGTCAGCATGCTAGGAAGTGCTCAAGTCTGAGCTACATTCCCAGCCCTAGTAGTCAGCCTTTGGAAGTCATTCACTTTCATATCTCTGCTGTAAAATTGGAACATTGAAGTTTATTACTAAAGGCTAAACATAAGAGTAACCAAAGTTGAGAAGAAAATGAAAGGCATTAACTGAGTTTCCAGTTCAAGAAGCCGGAGGGGAAGTACAAAAAAATGAGGACTTGATGCCATCTGAATGTGTTCCATAAAAGGCATGGCGTTAGTGTCTCATGTCTATAATCCTAGCCTTTCAAGAGGCTGAGATCTGAGGATCATGGTTTGAAACCAGCTCTGGCTTCTGGCCGTCTGTGAGGTTCTTAACTCCAATTAATTAGCAAGAGGTCAGACATGGTGTGGCTCAAGTAGCAGAGCGCCAAACTTGAGGGAAATAGCTAAGAAATAATTCTGTGCTGAGTCAAGCCCCAAACAAAAATAAACGGCCTGACATCGTCTATTCTTCCTCTGTAACTAAGGTGCTTTCCCAGCCTCTCAAGTTGTTTGACCTGCGACCATTAAAGGTGGTATCGCATACAGAGACCTGTTGCGCACAAGCACTAATTGCCCACCAACAAGCCCAAAAGTCTCTCTTCCTCATCCTCCGCCCACCATCCCAGAGAAGATGATTTACTAAGTCTAAACTGGGGCCTAGAAAGCCCGGAACAAAAAGAAAAAAAAACGAAAAACCAAGTTCTCCAGCCGACTGCAGAGAATATCCGGCCCAGACCCCAGAATCCACCCCTAGACTGGCCGCCACACCCACACCTTCTGGTCTAAAGCGGTGGTAAGCTCCAGTTATCGCGATAACACGCCTCCCCCAGCTAAGCTGGAGGTCACGCGAGAGTGACTAGTCCAATCACGAGGCCAGATGGCTCTCCAAGATGGCGGCGCGCTGGGAGCGTAGCATCTGCGTTTCTAAGAGCTGGGCGCTGTGGGGATTACTATTTCGGAGTTGAACGAGCCCCCGCCAGGCCCGTTGTTGTCGAACGGGAACATCGGCCTCAGAGGTGGGTCATTTGACTTCTCTGCGGGATGCGATCTTGAACGGCGTAGGCCCAGGGGTCCGTGTCGGATTTGGGGCCCGTGAGGTGTTGACTTGGGGGTCCGGAGCGGGCTTCCTGGGGCGGGCGTGTTGGGGTGGGCTGGTGGGCGGAGTTGGCGACGGGAATGGAGACGGGGATTGAAGGAGAGACCCCGGAGCGGGAGTGTGCTCAGATGTTGCGAAGACGTTTGAAGCTGAAGACCTACTGAGGAGGCAGGAGTAGGAGTAGCGGGGGGACAGGCAGGGCAAGAACAAGAGGGAAAAAGCCGAATTGAGGGGGGAGGGCGAGAAGAGAAAACACGGAGGCCAGAGCCGAGGACGGTAAGATCGAGTGAGAAGGAATTTGACGTGCCAGAAGCAGAATTGGACCGTTTCTTGGCTTCTGTATTAAAGGAAATTAAAATAAAAAAGGTTGGGGCACCAAGGGAACCGAAGCATGGAAACGAGAAAGATCAAAGAAGGTCGAAGCATCAATTTTTCTGAACTGCTGCTACTACTATTGCGTTCTGAACTGACTCTGGTCAACTAAAAGAAAAGATGCCTTCCCTTGGGTTGGGCTTAAAACATTTTTTTTTTTTTTTGAGACTTAAGAAGGGGACAGACGGCCAAGTCCCAATGAGAATGCTATGTTTCAGTAGTATAGACTGTGAAAAGTGTTTCATAACATTTTCAGTCAACACTAGTTGAGTGCCCGCCTTGTCCAGGTTCTGTTTAAGGCAATGGGATGTAAACAGTGAAAAAAGAGACACTTTGCCTTTTCTAAAGTAGGATAGAGCTTCTTCGTGTGTGTGTGTGTGTGTGTGTGTGTGTGTGTGTGTGTGTTTGTGTTTGTGTGTAGACTCTATGGAATGTCAGATGGGTAAATTCTCTGTGGAAGATAGCTAGAAAGCGAACGAGGAGCATGTTCCTTCTGCATATTTACATGTGATGTTAATGAGAAGGAAGGTGATGTTTGGCTAAAGGCCTGAACAAGGTGAGATGCCTTCAATGTCTGTACTGGTGGAAGAACAATCTACGCAGACTGAATAACGACAGCAAGAGCAAAATTCTTAAGGCTTGTGGCAGACTTGAAGCAATAGGGAAGAAAGAGGTCACTGTGGCTAGAGCAGGAGTAAGGAAAAGTTAAGAGATTCCATTAGAGAAGAGTGGAGAGTGCCAGGTAAGAGTTGGCATCCAAGTTAACTTTGAGGCATGAAACAGCTTCAGTTAAAACTTCAGTGCCTGTATTAGGAAGTAAGTTAGGCTGCAATGTAGGAGCTCATTGATAGAATTCATGCTTACATGTATGAGACTCTAGGTTCAATCTCTAGGCCCCTCCTCCCAAAAAAGAGCAAAGAAAAATTTTTTTGACTCTTCCTATATTTTGAACAGAATAAGTAATGGAGTTGTCGATCTGAAACTTAGTTTGTTTCATATATGTACTTTTTGGGGTCGGGGGCGAGGGGAGTTGTGCTGTACTGAAGCTTGAACTCAGTGCCTGAGCTTCTTTGCTCAAGGCTGGCGCTCTGCCATTTGAGCCACAGTTCCCCTTCTGGCTTTTTGGTGGTTAATTGGAGATAAGAGTCTCCAGGACTTTCCTGCTGGTTTTGAACCATGTCACTCAGAATAAGTTGTAGAGCCCTAATATAGCAGTAGTCCTTGAAATTGTCTTTTAGTTTCTGTTCAGAATTACAAGAAAGGAAAACATGGTCTTTTTTTTACTATTTTCTTGGGGACTGGGATCTATTCTAGTTTTATGCCCTTCTATTTCCTGATGATCTGTAAAGGCAATGTTATGTTAGGAAATTAAAATTGATGTATAAGCCAGGCTTGGTGGTGTACAACTATAATCTCATCACTCAGGAGGATCTTGAGACCAAGGCTGGCCTCAGCTACATTGTGAAGTCTTTCTCAGAAAACCAACACACAGGGGCTAGGAAGGTGGCTCAGTGGTACAGCGCTTGCCTTGCATGCCTGAGGCCCTGGGTTCAATTCCTCAGCACCACATAAGAAAAAAGAAAAAAGCCGGAAGTGGTGCTGTGGTTCAAGTGGTAGAGCGCTAGCCTTGAGCTGAAGAGCTGAGGGACAGCGCCCAGGCCCAGAGTTCAGGCCCCATGACTGGACCCAAAAAAAAAAAAGAAAACCAACACACACACACACACACACACACACACACACACATGCACACACTCACACACACAGTCCTTAGAGAATAGTGTGCTTTAGTGATAGTGTGAGGAGTTAAAGGTAGTAACTCACTGCTTAAAAACTTCCAAGTGAGGGGCTGGGAAGGTGGCTCAGTGGGAGAACGCTTGCCTTGCATGCATGAAGCCCTGGGTTTGATTCCTCAGCATCACATAAGCAGAAAAAAGCCAGAAGTGGCGCTGTGGCTCAAGTGGTAGGGCGCTTGCTTTGAGCTGAAGAGCTGAGGGGCAGCGCCTAGGCTCAGAGTTCAAGCCCCACAATCGACAAAAAAAAAAACAAAACAAAGCAAAAAAAAAACCTTGCAAGGCATTTTTTTTTTTTTGTCTTGTCAGTTGTGGGGGCCTGAACTCTGCACCAGGGCGCTGTCCCTCAGCGATTCAGCTCAAGGTGAGTGCCCTACCGCTTGAGCCACAGTGCCACTTCCGGCTTTTTCTGCTTATGTGGTGCTGAGGAATCAAACCCAGGGCTTCATGCATGCAAGGCAAGCACTCTTACCACTGAGCCACCTTCCCAGCCCCCAAGTGACTTTTAATATTCATTTAATGAAATATTTATTGTATACCCATTGTTGGGAGTACAGTGAAGAATAAAGTGGGAGCTGGGTGTTGGTGGCTCATGTCTGTAATTCTAGCTACTCAGGAGGCTGAGATATGAGGGTTGTGGTTCAAAGTCAGCCCAGGCAAGAAACTTAACTCCAGTCAACCACTAGAAAATCTGGAGTGGTGCATTGGCTCTAAGTGGTAGAGTGCTAGCCTTGAGCAAAATAGCTCACAGACAGTGTCTAGGCCCTGAGTTCAAGCCCCATGACTGAACAAAAAAAGAATAAAGTGGGACTACCCAAATGTAGAATGTGTGTGTGTGATGTAAGTGAAATAATTACACTCACAGCCACTGTAAGGATGGAAAAGAATGGGGTGCTTTGAAAACAGAATAGAGGCTAGGGGGATGGCTCCAGAGGTAGACTGCTTGCTTGGGAAGCAGGAGGCCCTGAGTTCAAATCCCAGTACTGCAAAGAAAAAGCATATAGAGTGGGCTCTTGATGGGCTGTGTAGATGAGAGAATGCTTACTTGAGAAAGTGATTGTTAGGGTATAATTTAAAGGCCTAATGGGTCTTCAGAGTTTAGTGAAAGGTGACAGTGGAAGATGATGAGATTCTTGCAGACATAAGGATAGCAGACGGTGAGATACCCCACTGTGTGGCAGAGAAAATGAAAGCAGACCATGTTACATGGAGCATAGGGTAGGTAGGGGAAAATGGCAACAGATGAGGTAGGCAAGGCCCACGTCTTGTAGGCCTTGTTAATGATTTTAGACTTGAACAGCTTTAAGAAGCTGCTGAAGGAATTTTGCAAGGGAATGTTCAGATTTGCATTGAGAGATGGGGACAGGCTTGTCTTCTGGGTGAAAAAGTGGATTGCAAGGGGCAAGAACTGTTATGAGACTCTTTTTGTCTGGCCAGATCAGTGGATTTATAGGGATGAAAAGTTGGATAGTATCAAGAAATAATTAGGACAAGGAAAGTACTAAAGAATTCTGGCTAGTATGTCACAGGAAAGATGGTAGTGCCATTCAGTAACATAGGAAAAAATAGGAGAGGACCAGTGTGGAGTTGGTAGACAAGACTTAATTTTGGACATGTATATAAAGTGCTTTTTGGCTATTCAAGTGAGAAATATAATAGGCAGTTAGATGTGTAATTTGGAAAGATTTGGAGTGAGGACAATGGTTCTCTTTTGAGATTGGCTAATTGCCAGGATAGAAACTGTCAGAAAACCTGAAATAGGTTGTTAATGTTTATTACTGTGTAAAATTGCATCTCTAAAAAAGCTGGTGAAGGAAAGGTTCTTATTGCTAGGATACTTAATAATAGGGGATTATGACTCAACTGTTGACTTAGGGAAAGAAGAGCCTTTGGAAAAAGAGATGCTTGAACTATGATCCTAAGGATGAGCTGATAAAGAACAGTACAGTTAAAGGTATCTCCTGGGGCTGGTGATGTAGCTCAAGTGGCAGTGAGCTTGCTAACAAGCACGAGGCCCTGAGGTTAGTCCTCAGCACAGAAATACAAAAACAAGCAAAAGAAATGGCCTGTGTAAAGGCCTTTGACATGAATGGAGGAGCAGAAAGGGCAAGAGGTCTGACTTACACTGAGGGTAAAAAGATAGGTAAGGCTAGATCATGCAGGATCTGGTATATATGTTGAAGTAATACTTGCTGTTATCTAAGAGTAAGGTTTTGAGTAAGTAGGTACTGAAGGACATACTGAGATTTGTGTTTAGAAATAATTACTGTGTGACATGATGTTATATGTCTGCAAGTTCGGCACTGGGGACCTGGAAGCAAGAAACTTCCTGAGTTTGAGGCCAGCTTGGCTTCATAGCAAATTCCAGATCAGTCTTGAGTTATATCTAAAAAAAAAAGACTCAGGATGTAGCCCAGTTTTTCCTAGTATGCCCAAGGCCCTAGGCTCAGTTCCCAGAATGACAAAAATAAATGATTCAGCTGGATATGATGCTGTATACCTATAATTCCAGCATTCAGGAGGGTGAGACAGGAGGATCATAAGTTGGAGACTATGTTAAACAGCCAGACCTTGTTTCAAAAGAAAAGAAAAAAATCACTGCGAAGTGGAAGGGCAGTGGTGAGAACGAGTGCCTCAGTATTCTAAGTGGCTTGTACTGGACTGCTTGTAGAGGTGGGAAAAGAGATGGATATGAGGCATTTAGCAGGTGAACACAGAATTTAGGATTTATGAGATATATGAAGGAGAGAGGGCTATCAGATAATAGCTAGATTTTGGCTTGCTTTATTTAGGTGAATGTTGTTAAAAGTGGAAAATACATATAACAAGGGGGAAAGTCACCTATACCTAGAAATGGATATATGCTAAAATATTTTTTCATTTGCCAACTTGAGGCTGGGGTGCAACTTCATGTAGACACATGCCTAATTTTTGTTGTTGTTGGTCGTGGGGCTTGAACTCTGGGCTTGGGCGCTGTCCCTGCGCTCTTCAGCTCAAAGCTAGCTCGCTACCACTTGAGCCACAGTTGCACTTCCAGTTTTCTGGTGGTTTATTGGAGATAAGAGTCTCACGGATTTTTCTGCCGGAGCTGGCTTTGAACTGTGATCCTCAGGTCTCAATCTCCTGAGTAGCTAGGATTACAGCCACTGATGCCCAGATGGCTAATTTGTTTGACTCCCAAAATTGAATCCCAGTATTAAAACAACAAAAACAACAACAACAAACCGATGACCTGGAGATTAGGTAAACTAACACCATAGTTTTTCTTCATTTTTATTTTTCCATAGAAACACATTAGTTTTTTTCCATTTTGTAATCTGGATAAAGATAGAAGAGTGTTTTCATCCAGGTACAACAACAAATTTATAAAAGAAATTGGGATAGAAGAGATTTTTGCAAAGTTCAGTGACTCAGTATTTAATCCTTGCAAGGCGACTTGAACCTATGACTAATAATCTTGGCTTCTGTCACTTACAGGTTGGGGACTGGGAATTGAATCTAGAGCCTATACAAGCTAGGAAATGATTTACCACTAAATATACCCTCAGCCTACTTTGATACTGTTAAAAGAATGATTTTTTTTTTTTTTTTTTTTTTTTTGTCCAGGGATAGGGGCATGAAGTCAGGGCCTAGACCTTGTCCATTAATCTTTTTTTCTTTTCTTTTCTTTTTTTTGTCGGTCTTGTGTCTTGAGCCTGAGCTCTGCCCCTTAGCTCTTCAACTCAAGGCTAGCCTTCTACCGCTTAAACTACAGCGCCATTTCCGGTTTTCTGGTGGCTTATTGGAGATAAGAGCTTCATGGACTTTCCTGCTGGGCTGGCTTTGAGCTGCAATCCTTAGATCTCAGCCTCCTGAGTAGCTAGGATTACAGGCATGAGCCACTGGCACCTGGCTTCCATTAATTTTTTTTGGGTTTTGTTTTTTTTTTTTTTTTTTTGGTTTTTTGCTGGTCACGGGCCTGAACTCAGGGCCTGGGCACTGTCCCTCAGCTCTTCAGCTCAAGGCTAGCACTCTACCATTTGAGCCACAGCACCACTTACTGCTTTTTATTTATGTGGTGCTGAGGAATCGAACCCAGGGCCTCATGCATGCAAGGCAAGCACTCTATCACTGAGCTACTTTCCCAGCCCCTCCATTAATTTTTTTACTCAATGCTGGTACTCTACAATTTGAGCCACATACCTCTACTTCCAGCCTTTTGGTAGTTAAAGGTAACAATCTCATGGACTTCTCTGTCCTGGCTGGCTTCCAACAATGATCCTTAGATCTCAGTCTCCTGAGTAACTAGAATTACAGGCTTTGAGCAACAGTGTCAGGCAAATTTTTTTTCTTTTTTTTTTTCTCATTAGTTATGGGGCTTGAACTCAGGGCTTAGGCATTGTCTCTGAGCTCTTTTGCTCAAAGCTAGTGCTCTACCACTTTGAACCACAGCTCCACTTCTGGTTTTCTGGAGGTTAATTAGAGAAAAAAACTCATACTTTCCTGCCTGTGCTGGCTTTGAACCTTGATCCTCAGATCTCAGCCTCCTGAGTTGCTATGAGTATATTATCCAGCAGTGTTGTATATTTTTACTGTAGTACAATAAACAATGTAAAATTTTAGGTAAAAATTCAAAAGTCACCGGGCGCCAGTGGCTCATCCCTGTAATCCTAGCTACTCAGGAGGCTGAGATCTGAGGATCAAAGTTCAAAGCCAGCCTGGGCAAGGAAAGTCAATGAGACTCTTATCTCCAATAAACCACTAGAAAACCAGAAGTAGTGTTGTGGCTCAAGTGGTGGTAGAGTGTTCGCCTTGAGCTGAAGAGGGCAGGGACAGCGCCCAAGCCCAGAGTTCAAGCCCCGCAACCGACAAAAAAAAAAACATTGAAAGTAAAATGTTAACCATTTTAAGTATACCATCCAGTGGCATTAAGTACATTCAGGGTGTTTTGCAATCCTTATCACCAATGGAAGCTTAATGCCCATTAAACACCGCTTCACTGATTTTCCTCTGCTCTTCATCTTTGTTGATTTATTTGTTCTGGTGTTTCATAAGTGGAAGCATATAATATTTGTCCTTTTGTGTGGCTAATTTTTTTGTTGGTTGTAAATGCATTGGTTGGTTGTAAATGTAAATGTGTGGCTAATTTTTGGCTTATTTTTCTTAGCACAGCGCTGTAGCATGTATGAGAATTTCATTCCTTTCTATGCTTGAATGTGTATATGTTTATATGTGTATATGTATACTACATTATATATAGTCAATCTTTCTGTCACTGGACACTAGATTTAGCATTTTTTCAAAAATATAAATCAATCTTTTTTTTGTTGTTAGTTGTAGGGCTTGAACTCTGGGATTGAGCACTGTATCTGAGCTCTTCAGCTCAAGGTGAACGTTCTACCACTTCTGGTTTTCTGGTGGTTAATTGGAGATAAGAGTCTCACAGAACCTTTTCTCCCCAGGCTGGCTTTGAACTGTGATCCTCAGATCTCAACCTCCTGAGTAGCTACGATTACAGGCGTGAGCCACCGGCATCCAACTTTTTTCTTTCTTTTCTTTTCTTTTTTTTGTGCCAGTCCTGGGGCTTGAACTCAAGGCCTGGGCACTGGCTCTGAGCTCTTCAGCTCAAGGTGAGCGCTCTACCACTTGAGCCACAGCACTACTTCTGGCTTTTTCTGTTTATGAGGTACTAAGGAATCGAACCCAGGACTAGGCAAGCACTCTACCACTCAGCCACATTCCCAGCCCACACTTATTTTCTTTTTCTTTTTCTTTGCTTTTCTTTTCTTTCTTTTTTGGTCAATTGTGGGGCCTGAACTCTGGGCCTAGGTGCTATCCCTCAGCTCTTCAGCTCAAGGCTAGCGCTCTACCACTTGAGCCACAGCACCATTTCCAGCTTTTTTCTTTTTGCTTATGTGGTGCTGAGGAATCGAACCCAGGGCCTCATGCATGCAAGATAGGCACTCTACCACTGAGCCACGTTCCCAGCCCTGTTACTTTCTATTTTTCAAGTTTTGTGTTTTATTTATGACAACTACCCTATTGTGTGTGCAGTGGAATTTCATTGTGATTTTGATTTGCATTTCTCTAATGACAATGTTTTTATGTGCTTATTTGTGTATATTAAAAAAGAAAAAATTTATACTTGGGCTGGGAAGGTGGCTCAGTGGTAGAGTGCTTGCCTCGCAGGCATGAGGCCCTGGGTTTGATTCCTCAGTACCATATAAGCAGAAAAAGCTGGAAGTGGCACTGTGGTTCCAGTGGTAGAGCGCTAGTCTTGAACTGAGGAGCTGAGGAGCTGAGGGACAACACCCAGGCCCGGAGTTCAGACCAAATGACCATCAAAAAAAAAAAAGATTTGTACTTTCTTGATTGGTAAGATGTTTTGGCTATAACAATTAAGTTGGCATCCACAACTTTCCCATCAATATTTTAAAACTAAATATGTATATTTTTTTCTTTTTTCCTTTTGAAGATGGCTTTGAGTAAGTCAATGCATGCAAGAAATAGATACAAGGACAAACCTCCTGACTTTGCATATCTGGCATCCAAATATCCAGATTTTAAACAGCATGTTCAGATGAACCTGAACGGAAGAGTAAGGTAGGTAACACATGAACATTGTTAATATTATTATAGTGTGATCTGAGTGAACATAATATCATGAGAAGCAGACTAGATTAATAGAAGATCTGTCATCTAGTTATCTATCTTTATTGGAAAAAGAACACACAATGTATTACATGCTTAAGGAATGGAGTATTAGAAGTCAATATTCATCCTTAGAAAGCACCTATAATAGGAGACAGGAAATATACTCTAGTATACAACAAGCTAGGTGCTTACAAGCCTTCCACAGGATTGATAATAACTTTCTGCCTTGATACAATGCTCTTCTTTTATAATGGCTTTTTATTTAGCTCTATGATGTGTGAAAGAATAATCACCAAAATTACAAACTTAGTTAATGATGGAAATGGAATACTAGGCAACTTATTAGATCTGAGATGAGTTGGAATGTCATTTATTTGTTCAGCTCTTAAGTAATCTCTTCAGGGAAGCAGGGGATATGAAAAGCAATGGTCCTTTTAAGTTACTCATCCTTAAGTATCAGATTTGAGAGTACTACTTACCAACTGAGATTTTTAGATACTTCTCTTAGTTTTACTGAGACTGAATCTCTTCACCTAATGAAGAGAAGTAAAAGAATGTAATAAAAGAATGACTAGTTGTCATAAAGGTTAACAATAATGTATGTATAACAACACATTGTAGAGAATTGATACATTGCTTTTTTTGTTATTAATCCTGGTGTGATTAAGATGATCAATATTGCCAGTGATAACTTTCTCTGTTTTTCTTCCCTGCACCTGTCAGTGCTAGCCCTAATCAAATCAGACCATTACGACTAAATTTTATCTTGTGCTTTTTTCATAGTAACCAGCTCCACAGAGGCAGACTACAGTTTACTTGAGCTCTGTCAATGGAGTTTGAATAGAGTGAAGCTTAGCTAATTTGTTTTTAAGCCATAGACCTGGTGTTGAAGAGCTTGGTCATGCTGGGTGATCGTATCATTTTTAGCATCTCAGTGACAATCCAATGACTGGATCATTGTTGGAATAAAGAAGGCAGGCTTTGGCCTTATTATACACCTGGTTCAGCTTTTACAGTATGAGGATGATTGTTCTTTCAACCCTGGTTACAGAAATGGATCCTACCAAAATGCATCTATAATAATGCTGCAATTACCTGTAATAGATCAGGGAGTTATTCTGGGGAAATGGGACTTTAGCCTGTTCACACAATCTATTTTGTGATATTTTAAACAAATAACAAAGACTAATGGAAGGAATAAATTGCTGATTTCCACGTGAGAGCTAATTTTAGTTAGGCTCCCTGTGATCTCAGAAATGAAGGGGAAAAAAGATCTTACCTATGTTGAGGAGTTTGAATGTCCCAGGGTGCTGATGTGACCTAGATATTTAACTTGTGAAGTTGGGTGACTAGACTTTGTCCTGCAAAACTACAGACTAATGTCTGCATTTTCTTAGAAGAAAAAAATTAACACTCATTTTACGAATGAAATCTAAGAATCTGCTCTTCATTGATTTTTTCAGTTAATTCCTTCAGTTATCTCTTGCCTCTATTTGGTGGCTTATATTTTTTGGTGGTTAGGATAATTCTTCAATAAATTATGTGTTGTAGTTCATGTTTTTGTTTTGTTTTGTTTTTTGTTGGGGTGCTTGAACTCTGAGCCTGGCAAGTGCTCTACCATTTGAGCCACAGCACCACTTCGGTTTTCAGGTAGTTAATTGGAGATAAGAGTCTTACAGACTTTTCTGCCCGGGCTGGCTTTGAATCATGATCTTCAGATCTCAGCCTCCTGAGTAGCTAGGATTACAGGCGTGAGCCATTAGTGCCTGGCTTCATTGATCTTTCAAATGAACTTTGACCATATTCATTAACCATAGTCATCCTCATTCATTTTAAGAATTGGAGACATTTCATATAAAAATATGGGTTACTTTTTTTTTTTTTTTTTATTGTAAAGCTACTATACAGAGGGTTACAGTTACATGAGTGAGGTTATGAGTACACTTCCTCTTGAACATTGTTACCCCCTCCATTGTTTTCCCCCTACCATCCCCTCCCTCCCTCCCTTCCCCGAGGTTCTTTTTTTTTTTTGATTGTGATTAAATGATTACATAATTTCAAAGTCACAAGTTCATTCTTACTTCTATGGGTTACTTTTTGTTTGAAAGTATTATAGGGCCAGGAATGAGGTATATGCTTGTCTCTGCTGGGTAGGAAAAGGATTGCAGTTAAGATCCTATCTAAAATATAAACTAGGGGCTGGGAAGGTAGCTCAGTGGTAGAGTGCATGCCTTGCAAGCATGAGGCCCTGGGTTCGATTCCTCAGCACCACATAAGCAAAAAGAAAAAAGCTGGAAGTGGCGCTGTGGCTCCAGTGGTAGAGCGCTAGCCTTGAGCTGAAGAGCTGAGGGACAGCGCCCAGACCCAGAGTTCAGGCCCCATGACCTGCAAAAAATAAATAAATAAAATAAAATATAAACTAAAGCAAAGAGGGCTGGAGGTGTGACTCATGTGGTAAGAGTGCTTAAGGTCCGAAGTTCACGTCCTAGTAACACCAGAGGAAAGAAAAGAAATATTATAGATCAGGCAAAATTGGGCTGGCAAAAACCCAATTGACATTCCTAACTTTTGTGTCATCTTCATAGAGCTACTGAAAATGTGCTCATTGAGTGTGCTCATTGAGTGCTCAACCACAGACTGTTTACTGTACACAGAGATTACTACCTTGTGCATTTGTTAGTCACCTGGCACAAGCTTCTTGTCCCAAACTGGCATTGTGAGTAGTATTGATAGCTGTTCCTTGTAAATATTTGAATTTTCAAGTTCTGATTTTCAGTTTCTTTGAAATGCCTCTGCAGAGTAGCATTCAGGATTAATAAGGCAACAATTGTGTCACTATGTACAATTAGATAAATTATCTAGATTTTCAGAGTTTCTTAAATAGAAATTTTCTCAAGTTTCACAATTGAGCTGGTAAGATTTTGCATGGAGCTGTTTTGTTGAGAAATATCCTTTTATGTGTTTAGGCAGTGAAACTTAAAGGATGTGAACACATTTTAATGCTTTTGCTTTATTTTGATATGAATTTCTTTCTGGGGATGAAAGGAACTTTCATTCCTGTCATTAAAGGAAGCAAAGTTGCCCGTCATTTTCAGGATGGATTATGACTGATATTATAGGCATAAAATACAATATTGTTAGAATTCAACCTGTCATTTTTCTAGTTTCACAAATTATTTATTTTTGTGATGGTCCTGGGGCTTGAACTCAGACCCTGACCTTTTTGTTCAAAGCTAGCTCTCTACCACTTGAGCCACAGCTCCACTTTGAGCTTTTTTTTAGGGGGAAGGGGTAGTTTAGTGCAGATGAGAGTCTCAAACTTTCCTGCCCAAGCTAGCTTCAAACTATGATCCTCAAATCTCGGCCTCCTGAGTAACTAGGATTATAGATGTGAGCCACTGGCACCCAGCAGTTTCTTTCTTTTTCTTTCTTTTTTTGTCGGTCGTGGGTCCTGAACTCTGTGCCTGGGCATTGTCACTCAGCTCTTCAGCTCAAGGCTAGCGCCCTACCACTTGAGCCACAGCACTACTTCTGGCTTTTTTCTGCTTATGTGGTGCTGAGGAATCGAACCCAGAGCCTCATGCATGCTAGGCAAGCACCCTACCACTGAGCCAACTTCCCAGTCCAACCCAACAGTTTCATAATCTATTTGTTGCTACATAATTTATGTTGACTCTGGGTTCATGTTGATTTCAGTTCAGGAAGAAATCCAAAGGCAATATGTCAATCTTTTTTTTTAATGTGAAAATTGATTGGGACAGTTGATGGGCAGCTGAGTAAGTAGAATTGTAGTCCTTTGTTAGCATTTTTCATACAAATTGTTCCAGATTTGGCCTGTGGGAGTTCACTCTGTGTACTTTTGACTTTATCTTCCTTTCAACATGGCCTATTTTCTGATATGACAAAACGTTACAGGCTTATCTTGTACTTTTCCCACTCCAAATATGATATAGTTGGTTATCCAAGGAAATTGTAATTTCTTTTAGAGGGGAGTGGTACTTAGAAGTCAAGATAATGGAGCTCTAGATATGTTTACTGCTATGGAAATGTCACAGCTGGGCTCCTACTGTATTTATTGATATTCTACTATGGCTACCCTCTTTTCTTTGCTTATATTGAAATTGTGTGTTTGTGTGTGTGTGTGTGTGTGTGTATGTGTGTGTTCCCTGTATAAGAGATTACACCATGATATCTAGGCAAGCATGCTAGCACTGAGCTATACCCTCAGTTCCTTGAATTTTTATTCTTTGTGCCTTCTGTCTCTGTCTTCATATACTTTCATCCTATTATCACTGTTCGCATAAGTTCTTTAAATATAAACATTTCATTTTTCCTTTTTTGTTTGTTTGACGTAGAGAGTCTTGCTATTTAGCTCAGTCTAGCCTAGAATTTGTGGTCTTCCTGGTTCAACCTTTCAAGTGCTGGACCACTATGCCCAGCTGAAAGTTAGATTTTTCTAAATTGAACTCTGGGCCTGGCGCTGTCCCTCAGCTAGTCAGCTCAAGGCTTGCGCCCTACCACTTGAGCCACAGCACCAACCACTTCCCTCTTTTTCTGTTTATGTGGTGCTGAGGAATCGAACCCAGGGCCTCATGCATGCAAGGCAAGCACTCTACTACTGAGCCACCTTCCCAGCCCCTAAAGTGTAGATCACAAGATCTCCTACTGGTTGTCTATTTAATATGTGATCAGTAGCATGACTAGATGCTTGACCTCTTTTAACAAGAGTGAGAAGTTTGATACAATACCATACTGGAGAATAATGGGAACATTTACTTGTCTTTTGTTACTTTTTTTTTTTTTTTTTTGTTGGTCATGGGGCTTGAACTCTGGGCCTGAAAGCTGTCCCTCAGCTCTTCAGCTCAAGGCTAGCACTACCACTTGAGCCACAGCGCCACTTCTGGGTTTCTGAGGGGTTTTATTGGAGCTAAGAGTCTCATGGACTTTCCTGCCTCGGCTGGCTTTGAACCGTGATCCTCAGATCTCAGCCTCCTGAGTAGCTAGGATTACAGATGAGCCACCGGCTTGGAGCTTGAACTCTGGGCCTGGAACTGTCCTTGTGCTTCTTTGCTCAAGACTAGCACTTTTAATTGAGCCACAGCTCCACTTCTGATTTTTTGCCGGTTATAGATTAGAGTCTCAAAGATGGGCTGGGAAGGTGGCTCAGTGGTAGAGCGCTTGCCTTGCATGCATGAGCCCTGGGTTGGATTCCTCAGCACCACATAAGCAGAAAGAAAAAAGCCGGAAGTGGCGCTGTGGCTCAAGTGGTAGAGCACTAGCCTTGAGCTGAAGAGCTAAGGGACAGCGTCCAGGCCCAGAGTTCAGGCCCCAGGACTGGACCCAAAAAAAAAAAAGTCTCAAAGACTTTCTTGCACAGGCTGGCATTGAACTGATCCTCAAATCTCAGCCCTCTGAGTAGCTGGGATTACAGGTGTGAGCCACCAGTGCCTGGTTTTTTATTATGTTTTAAGTAATTGTGTAAAGTGTCCTGTGTTTCTGTTACTTGCTTTACAAATGTTTAAGTGACTCTTGGCCCTGGTACCAGTTCTTTGGCATCTAACACTAGACTAGTGTGCCCAGTTCCTTAATTTTGTAGATGTAGAAACTAAGACCTAAGAACTCAAAGCATGCCAGGCACTTGTGGCTCACACCTGTAATCCCAGCTACTCATGAGGCTGAGATCTGAGGTGTGTGGTTCAAAGCCAGCACAAGTGGAAAAGTCCATCAGACTCTTACCTCTAATTAACCACCAGAAAACTGGAAGCGGTGCTGTGGCTTAAAGTAGAGAGCCCTGGTCTTGAGTATAAAAGCTCAAGGACAATACCCAGGCCCTGAGTTCGAGCTCCAGTTCCAACTTAAAAAAAAGAAAGGGGAAAAAAAAAGAACTCAGGGCTTAACATGACTAATTGCAGGACATTTGTACTTTTTTTTTTGCTAGTCCTGGGGCTTGAACTCTAGACCTGGGGCACTGTCCCAGAGCTTCTTTTGCTCAAGGTGAGGGATCTGCCACTTGAGCCACAGCACCACTTCTGGATTTTTCTGCTTATGTGGTGCTGAGGAATCAAACCCAGGGCCTCATGCATACAAAGCAAGCACTCTACCACTGAGCCACCTTCCCAGCCCTTTAACAGCATTTTAAACACGAAACTACATTATTATAAACATAAGTTTCTTACTTAAAACATTAATATACCATGTGGTACAGTCATGGATGGATGTCTGTCCATATTTCCACACAAAGACTTGTTGAGGAATGTTCACAGCACCATTGTTCTTGTGAGCCAAAAAGGAGAAAACGTATGATGTCTGCCTTTAACGGTTGGTGAATGGAAACAAACAGGCTTTTCTTACGATGCTATACTATTCAGTGATATGATGAGACAAACACTGTAGTACAGAAGAACCTCACCAATATTGTGCTTATGGAAAAAAGTTTTTGCCAGGTGGGCAAAGTGTGGTTTCAGTTTCCTCAAAAGGCAAAACTCCACACAAGTGGCCTGGGCTTAGATCTATGAAGATGACTTACAGTATTGCATAATACTTTTTTTTTTCCTTGTTGGTCATGGGGCTTGAACTCTAGGCATGGGCCCTGTCCCTGAGCTCTTCAGCTCAAAGTGAGCACTCTACCATTTGAGTCACAGCGCCACTTCCAATTTTCTTGTGGCTAATTGGAGGTAAGAGTCTCACAGATGGGGCTGGGAAGTTGGGTCGGTGGTAAAGTGCTTGCCTCACATGCATGAGGCTCTGGGTTCGATTCCTCTACCACATAAGCAGAAAGAAGCCAGAAGTGGCGCCGTGGCTCAAGTGGAAGGATGCTAGTCCTGAGCTGAAGAGACGATGGACAGCGCCCAGGTCAAGAGTTCAGCCCCCATGATGGACAAAAAAAAAAAGAGTCTCATGGACTTTCCTGCCCAGGCTGGCTTTGAACAGTGATCCACAGATTTCAGCCTCCCGAGTAGGTAGGATTACAGGTGTGAGCCACCAGCACCCAGCTTGAGCTGGCAGTTCTTTTGTGTGTCCTCTAATAGGATTGTAGGGATGGTTACAGAACTCTGTTAATGTACTATGCACTACTCTGGGTGTGGTAGTACATTCCTATAATCTAGCACCCTGGGGATGGAGGCAGGAGGATTAAAAGTTTGAGGCTACCCTTGGCTATATAGGAGACCTCTACCCCAAAAAAGTTATATTAAATTTGTTGTCTGAAATAGCTCTATTTAGGTATTTTAGTGTATTTTTATTTTTATTTTATGTTTTTGCTCAAGACTAGCACTCTATCACTTGAGCCACAGTACCACTTCTAGCCTTTTCTGCTTATGTGGTACTGAGGAATAAAACCCAGGGGTCATGCATGCTGGGCAAGCACTCTACCATTAATCCACATTCCCACCCCCTAGTATATTTTTAATTGTGAAGATTTGATGCGTCTTTCTTTCCATTTTAAAGGATGATTTTCAAAGAATACTTGTGTCAGATGATGTCAGTGATATTAGTGGAAAAAAAAAAGATTTACTTTTTTTTTTTTGGTCATTCATGGGTCTTGAACTTGGGGCCTGGGCCCTGAGCTCTTCAGCTCAAGACTAGTATTCTATCACTTTAATCCACATCTCCATTTTGTTTTCTGGTGGTTAATTGGAGATAAGAGTCTCATAGAGGGCTGGGAAGGTGGCTCAGTGGTAGAGCGCTTTCCTTGCATGCATGAGGCCCTGGGTTCGATTCCTCAGCACCATATAAGCAAAAAGAAAAAAGCCGGAAGTGGTGCTGTGGCTCAAATGGTAGAGCGCTAGCCTTGAGCCACAGCTCCCACTTCTGTCTTTTTTCTGCTTATGTGGTGCTGAGGAATGGAACCCAGGGCTTCATGTATGCGAAGCAAGTGCTCTACTACTGAGCCACCTTCCCAGCCCCACAGAATCATTTCTATACAACACGGCAGTGCTGTAAGACAGGTCCTGCTTCCCTCACTTTACAGTTGTGGACATAATCACAGAGGTAAAGAAATGGTCCTGAGTAAGGGGACCTTAGAATGGGAACATATTCTTTTTTTCCTTCCTTCCTTCCTTCCTTCCTTCCTTCCTTCCTTCCTTCCTTCCTTCCTTCCTTCCTTCCTTCCTTCCTTCCTTCCTTCCTTCCTTCCTTCCCCCTCCCTCGCTCCTTTCTTTCTTCTCTCTCTCTCTCTCTTGCTGGTCCTGGGGCTTGAACTGTAGGCTTGGGTGCTATCCCTGAACCTCTTTGTGCTCAAAGTTAGTGTTCTACCACTTGAGCCATAGCATCACTCCCAGCTTTTTCTGAGTAGTTTATTGGAGATAAAAGTCTCATGAGGGGCTGGGAAGGTGGCTCAGTGGTAGAGCGCTTGCCTTGCATGCCTGAGGCCCTGGGTTTGATTCCTCAGCACCACATAAGCAAAAAGAAAAAAGCTGGAAGTGGCACTGTGGCTCAAGTGGTAGAGCACTAGCCTTGAGCTGAAGAGCTGAGGGACAGCGCCCAGGCCCAGAATTCAGGCCCATGACCGGACCCAAAAAACAAATAACAAACAAAGAAAAACCGAAAAAGTCTCATGAACTTTTCTTCCCCATCTGGCTTCAAACCATGATCCTCAGATCTTAACCTCCTGAGTACCTAAGAATACAGGTGTGAACCACTGGCTTGGGAACATATTCTTAATCAACATGCTTCATGTGTGGGCATACAGTAGTTTGGTGGAAAGCGACACCATCTTCTACAGGCTGTGAGAGTGTTAAAACACAGCTCTTCCTTCATGTGAGCTCTCACTAGGAGAGTCAAGTAGGCATTTGGGCATGATGAACTCTGTCATACAACTTGTATAGCAGAAGTGAATCTTACTAATCATTTTGACTTCTTTTTCTCCATCCCTCAGTCTTAATTTTAAAGACCCTGAAGCAGTCAGAGCTCTGACTTGTACTCTCCTAAAGGAAGATTTTGGACTTTCTATTGATATTCCATTGGAGAGACTAATTCCCACAGTTCCCTTGAGACTCAACTATATCCATTGGGTAGAAGACCTGATCGGCCACCAGGAATCTGACAAAAGTACTCTCCGAAGAGGAATTGACATAGGTACATAGTTTTAACTTTTTTTATTTAAGTTTTAAATTTTACAAAGACATATTCTTCATAGGCTTCCTCTGCTAGGTATTGGTTGTATGAAAGAAGCTAGCGTCATATACTGCTTTTTTTTTTTTTTTTTTTTTGTCGGTCGTGGGGCTTGAACTCTGGGCTTGGGCACTGTCCCTGCGCTCTTCAGCTCAAGGTGAGTTCTCTACCGCTTGAGCCACAGTGGTACTTCCAGTTTTCTGGTGGTTTATTAGAGATAAGAGCCTTACGGACTTTCCTGCATGGGCTGGCTTTGAACTGTCCTCAGATCTCAGCTCCTGAGTAGCTAGGATTACAGGTGTGAGCTACCAGCACCCCGCAAATACTACTGTTCTTATTTGTTATATCGGGGCTTTTCTGCCATTGGTTTTGCTTGAGAAGAGTTGTCAGCTCTCAACACAGCACTAATGTGTGTGTGTCTTCAATATTATCTTTATGATCTTCACTTACTTTGTTTTTTTTTTTTGGGTCCAGTTGTGGGGCCTGAACTCTGGGCCTGGGCGCTGTCCCTCAGCTCTTCAGCTCAAGGCTAGCACTCTACCACTTGAGCCACAGCGCCACTTCCGGCTTTTTGCTTATGTGGCGCTGAGGAATCGAACCCAGGGCCTCTGGCATGCAAGGCAAGCGCTCTACCACTGAGCCACCTTCCCAGCCCCTTCACTTACTTTGTATGTGTATTCTTATGCCAGTCCTTAGGCTTTAAGGCAGGGCCTGGGCACTGTCCCTGAGTTTTTGTTTTTTTTTTTTTTTGGTCAGTTGTAGTGCTTAAACTCTGGGCCTGTGTGCTGTCCCTCAGCTCTTCAGCTCAAGGTGAGCGTTCTACTACTTGAGCTACAGCACCAGTTTCAGTTTTCTAGTGGTTTATTGGAGATGAGTCTCATGGACATTCTTACCCAGGCTGGCTTTTTTTTTTTTTTTTTTTAAATTTTTATTTATTTTTTATTGTGAAAATACTGTACAGAGGGGTTACAATTACATGGGCAAGATAATGAGTACATTTCTTATCAAGCATTGTAGCCTCCTCCTTTGTTTCCCCTTCCCAGCCTCCCCCCCCTACTCAATTCCCTCCTTTCCCCCCAGCTAGCTTTGAACTGTGATCCTCAGATCTCAGCCTCCTGAGTAGCTAGGATTACAGGCGTGAGCCACTGATGCCCAGCTTCCCTGAGCATTTTTTGCTCAAAACTAGTGCTCTAGTACTTTGAGCCACAGCTCCATGGTTAATTGGAGATAAGAGTCTCACAGAGGTCTGGAAATGTGGTTTAGTGGTAGTGTTTGACTAGCATGCATGAAGCTGGGTTTTATTCCTCAGTACCACATAAACAGAAAAAGCTGGAAGTGTCACTGTGGCTCAAGTGGTAGAGTGCTAGTCTTGAGCAAAAAAAAGCTTAGGGATAGTGCTCAGGACCTGAGTTTATGCCCAGGACTGACCCCCCCCCCCTCCAAAAAAAAAAAGGCACTGACTTTTCTGCCTGGGCTGGCTTCAAATCACTATCCTTGGATCTCAGCCTCCTGAGTAGCTAGGAACCAGTGCCCAGTTTTACCTAAGGCTCTTATCATTATTATCCTTATTATGTTCATGGCAGAAGATTGACTGGTGTATTCTAGAAAGCTTTAAAAGGTGTACAAGCCAGGTTTGGTGCACATACCTGTAATATAAGCACTTGGGATTGAGGTAGGATATTGAGGTTCAATATCAGATTGGGTTATTTGGCAAGCACCTCTCTAAAAAATAATTTAAAAAAAAAAAAGCTTCACAGCCTATTCTTGGTGCTAATTTAATTTTAATTATGCCCCAAACCCTTTGAAACAGCACTTGGGGATATAGGAGGTTAATGGATTTTAGCTCTTCACAAGAGACAAGCAATTCTAGCTAAAATCACATTCATTCTAATTAGGGTTTTATATAAATTCTTCCCCCAGACTCTCATCAGTTTGCTCTAATTCTATGATTATATACTTTTCCATTTTTATTTTTTATTAAGATTATTACCCACTTAAAATGTCATTTGACTTTCTAAGGGGATTAGAGTGTCAAAGTTACAAGTGTTTTGGTCTTGAGAATTGAGGAACTTCTGGGGGGTGAATGGGCATTTTACCTACATTTTTTGCCCTAAAGTAAGTGCAGTTTTTGTTTTCTTTGAAATGAAGTGGAGCTATGAAGAGAGGAGCAGCTATGTGAATCTGAATTTTCTTTTTTGCCTATGGAGCTGAAAGTGCTAGGAAATTGAAAGACTAGCCGTCAAGGCTAAATAACTTGGTTTCAGGAGAAGTCTAAGCGCATTTTGCTCCTCCCCTCCCCCATCACAGATCCTCATGTGTTCACCCTTGCAGCATCAGGTCTGGAGATTTGGGCAGCAAATACTGTGACTGACTAAGCTTAACTGTTGCAGCATTAGTCAGTCATTGGCCTTTCTTTCTTTTCCTAGCTTGTTGAGAATACCGCATGAGGAAGCAATAATAGGAGCCTGGATTTCCTGTGGGTTAGAAGGCCTTCAGCCTCAACTTCATGCCAGATAACTTTAAGGGCAGTCAGGGAAAGCAACCCTAGAATGGCCAGGTTAGGCTTGGCTGCAATAGGCCTTCTCAGAAACACGGGATGTCCTCCCAAATATCCTTGCTTAGGATCTGATTGGTCAAGATTAGTTTGTGGTTGTAGGAGGAATATTTGTGGTTGGTATGTAAACTGGTCCAGGGCTGAGGCTCTGCATGGGAGTTAAAGGCCAAACCCTCCTTGTCAAAGACTGATTTTTGTTTGGAGTGTCACCCTGTGAGTTGTGTGCCTTGAATCTGTGGTAAGTCCAGCCAGTGGCTTTGACTTTTATGGAAATGTGGGTAATTGGATCTTTTGATGTCAGGAAAATTTTGCCTTACATATTTTTTTCTGCTTTTGGAGATGAGTGCATATACTTACCCTGTTTGTTTCTTTGTTTTATTGGTGGTAGGGCTTGAACACAGGACCTTGGTGCTGTCCCTGAACTTTTTCTCTCAGGGCGAGCACTCTACCACTTTGAGCCACTTCGATTAATTGGAGATAGGAGTCTCCTGGACTTTCCTGCTTGGGCTGGCTTTGAACTGTGATCCTCAGATCTCAGCCTCCTGAGTAGCTAGGATTATAGGCATAAGCCACTGGTGCCTAGCTTGCTGTTGTGTTTTGTATGTATATATTGTCTGTTTTTTGGGGAAACAAGGTCTTGCTCTGTAGCTCAGGTTGGCCTCAATTCTTCTGCCTGTGCCCCTCTCCAAGTACTAGGACTACACATGTGTATTACCATGTCCAGCTTTATATTACTATTTCTATTTTAATATTTCTGTGGTGATATAAAATAGCTAATTTAACCAATAGCATTGAATCTGAATCTTTTTTTTTTTTTTTTTTAAGAAAATTGAGTTTTGTTAGTGACTCACACCTGTAATCCTAGTTTCTCAGTATGCTAAGATCTGAGAAGTCTGGTTCAAAGCCAGCCAGCCAGGGCAGGAGAGCCCAGGAGCCTCTTATCTCCAATTAACTACGCAAAGAAGCCAAAGTGGAGCTATGGATCAAGGGGTAGAGCACTAAGCCCTGGGTACAAAAGCTCAGACAGCATGGAGGACAGAGAGAAAAAGAGAGAGGGAAGAAAGAGAGATGGGGAAGGGGAGGAAGTGAAGGGGAAAGAGATTCTGTAGAAGAATTAAAATGAGCCAGGCACCGATAGCTCATGCCTATAATCCTAGCTATTCAGAGGCTGAGATCTGACGATCATGGTTCAAAGCCAGCCCAGGCAAGAACGTTCATGAAACTCTTATTTCTAACCACCAGAAAACCGCAAGTGGTGCTGTGGCTCAAATGGTAGAGCTGAGGGACAGAGCTCAGGCCCAGAGTTCAAGCCCCATGACCAACCAAAAACAAACAAACAAAAAAGAATTACATGGGGGCTGGGAAAGTGGCTCAGTGGTAGAGTGCTTGCTTTGTATGCATGAGGCACTGGGTTCGATTCCTCAGCACCACATAAAAAAAAAAAAGGGGCTGGGAAGGTAGCTCAGTGGTAGAGTGCTTGCTTTGCATGCATGAGGCCCTGGATTCGATTCCTCAGCACCACATAAGCAAAAAGAAAAAAGCCGGAAGTGGCGCTGTGGCTCAAGTGGTAGAGCACTAACCTTGAGCTGAAGAGCTGAGGGACAGCACCCAAGCCCAGAGTTCAGGCCCCACGACTGGACCCAAAAAAAATTAAAAAAAAGAAAGAAAGAAAGAAAAAAAGCCGGAAGTGACACTGTGGCTCAAGTGGTAGAGCGCTAGCCTTGAGCTGAAGAGCTGAGGGACAGCGCCCAGGCCCAGAGTTCAGGCCCCGTGACTGGACCCCCCCCCACCCCCATAAAAAAAAAAAAAAAAGAATTATATGAAGCTGGGAATGTGGCTTAGTGGTAGAGTGCTTGCTTAGCAGGCATGAAGCCCTGGGTTCGATTCCTTAGTACCACATAAGCAGAAAAGGCCAGAAGTGGTGTTGTGGCTCAGGTGGTAGAGTGCTTTCCTTGAGCAAAAGAAGCTCAGGGACAGTGCCCAGGCCCTGAGTTCAAGCCCCAAGACTAGCAAAATTAAAAAAAGAGAGAAAAGAATTAGGGGGTGGGAAGGTGGCTCAGCAGTAGAGTGCTTGCCTTGCATGCATGAGACCCTAGGTTCAATTCCTTGGCACCACATAAGCAGAAAAAGCTGGAAGTGGCGCTGTGGCTCCAGTGGTAGAGCTGAAGAGCTGAGGGACAGCACCCAGCCCCAGAGTTCAGGCTCCATGACTGGCAAAAAGAAAAGAAAAGAATTAAAATGAAACTTTTTTCTTTTGGTTGGTTATGGGTTTGAACTCAGGGCCAGGTACTGTCCTCTTTGTACTCAAGGCTAGTTCTCTACCATTTGAGCCACAATGCCATTTTTTTGTTTTTGAGTGGTTAATTGGAGATAAGAGTTTCATGGAGACTCTTCTGCCTGGTGGGCTTTGAACCGCCATCCTCAAATCTCAGCCTCCTGAGTAGCTAGGATTACAGGCATGAGCCACCCAGTGTCTGCCTATGAAAACTTTTTATAACACAAATAGATTGAGTATTGACCATTTTTATGTAATGGATTCCTGGGGCTCCAATTACATGTGTTTCATTTTAAATTTAGTGTGCAAAAGAAGAGGGTAGCAGGAAATTTGATGTTACTTAGGAAATAAGGTTCACGAACATGAAGCAGCTAGAGAGGCCAGCAGCCCCATATGTCTTGGTTGGTGATTTAAACTGCAAAAACCAGGAGGCTTCTGAGAAGAGAATGTGTGAAGAATGTGTTCTGACATTTCATTTCCCTAGGAACTGGGGCCTCCTGCATCTACCCTTTACTTGGAGCAACTTTGAATGGCTGGTATTTCCTTGCAACGGAAGTGGATGATATGTGTTTCAACTATGCCAAGAAAAATGTGGAACAGAATAACTTATCTGACCTAATAAAAGGTTAGCTCAGCAGAATAAATATCCCCTTCAAACTTTATTTATAGCCTTTCTAGTTTAATATGTCTCTTTTTTCTTAAATGAATTGACTTAAAAAAAAATTGTTGGTGGTGGTGGTGGTGGCAGCGGGGGCCGGGCCTGGGCGCTGTCCCTCAGCTATTCAGCTCAAGGCTAGTGCTCTACCACTTGAGCCACAGTGGCACTTTTGGTTTTCTGAGTGGTTTATTAGAGATAAGAGTCTCACGGACTTTCCTGCCCAGGCTGGCTTTGAACCACCTTCCTCAGATCTCAGCCTCCTGAGTAGCTAGGATTACAGGCGTGAGCCACTAGTGCCCAGCGACTTTGATAATTAAAAAAAAAAAAAAAATGAATGCATTATAATTGGATTTGCTATTTTGATACTGGAATTATGTTGTGTGTGCATGTGTCAGTATTGGGCCTTGAACTAAGGGCCTCACATTTAATTGGCTTTTTTGCTTACAGCTAGCACTTGAGATGCCTCCAGTTTAGCTGGTTAATTGGAGATAAAGAGTCTCACAGACTTTTCTGCCTGAGTGGATTTGAACTATAGGCATTTGCAGTACAGTTTAGTTACAGAGCACTTCACAGTTGTTGAGTAGAAGGTAGACTTCCCATGTACCCCCACCCTCACATGCACAACCTCCCCATTATCAACATCCCACATCAGGGTGACACATCTTCAATACCCAGATTCCACAGTTTATTCTGAGGCTTACTCTTGGTGATGCACATTATGCAGTTTTGGACAAATGAAGGGACAGGGATGTAGTTCATTTGTAGAGTTCTTGATAGTATTCTTTTTTTTATTTTGCCAGTCCTGAGGTTTGACTCAGGGCCTGGGCACTGTCCCTGAGCTTCTTTTACTCAATTCTAGCACTCTACCATTTGTACCATTTAAGCCACAGCATCACTTTATGTGGTACTGAGGAATCAAACCCAAGGCTTCATGCATGCGAGGTAAGCACTCAACCACTAAGCCACACTCCCAGCCCCTTGCTAGCATTCTTAAGACCCTAATTAGTCCCCAGTACTTAAAGAATAAATAAAATAAATAAATAAATAAAATAAATAAAATCCTACCCAACTTTTTTTTTTTTTTTCATTTTAAGGCAGAATCTCTCTATGTTGTCCAGACAGGCCTCAAACTTGTGATTCTTCCACCTTAAGTCTTCTGAGTAGCTGTGATTGCTGGCATGCACCACCAGACCTGGCTAGTACTAGCTTTTAAATTTTTGTACCTGGCACTTGCTGAGAAATCAAATTCTTGAGTAATCGGTTAACTGATTTTTTGTTGTTGTTGTTTGTTTTTTAGTGACCCATATATGAAGTGCTATTAATTTTTTTTTTGGGGGGTCCGGCCATGGGGCCTGAACTCTGGGCCTGGGCACTGTCCCTCAGCTCTTCAGCTCAAGGCTAGCGCTCTACTACTTGAGCCACAGCGCCACTTCTGGCTTTTTTCTTTTTGCTTATGTGGTGCTGAGGAATCGAACCCAGGCCCTCATGCATACAAGGCAAGCGCTTTACCACTGAGCCACCTTCTCAGCCCTCATTTTTTTTATTACAGTGATTTTACTGTCTTCTTAGAAATAAGGCCTTCCTGGGAATGTTAAACATATTGCAAGGGGAAAATACTGATATCATTAATGGATTTGTTTTAATTCCCATTGTTGTATAACAAATTGCTACAAAATCTATCCATTTCAAGTGGGTATTTATGATTGATTTCATAGTCCCTGTGGGGCAGGCAGTCGGGCTTGCAGTTTGCCTTATTGTCTTTCATGAAGCTGCACTCTGGTTGTAAGATGCAGCTGTCATTTGAGGGCTCAATTGCTGATAGAACTTTGCTTCCATTGGTGCTGTGGCTCAAGTGGTAGAGTGCTAGCCTTGAGCTGAAGAGCTGAGGGACAGTTCCCAGGCCCAGAGTTCAGGCCCTATGACGAGACCCCCCAAAAAAAAAAGAACCTTGCTTCCAAAAGGGCTTGCTCACATGGAGCTGGAAGAAAACTTTAGTTTGTGTCCACCTGAATCTTAACAGCATGTCACAGGGCCTTTGATAGAGTGACTGTTCGAGGGAAAGGCAAGGAGAGGGTCCTGTCGTTACTTCTGTCCTACTGTTTGATAAAATCTGTCACTAAATGTGGCTTACTCTCAAGGAGGAAAATTTTAAACTGCACCTCTTTTAGGAAATAGTATCAGACAGTTTATATACATTTTCTTTTTTCTTTTGTGCACATATTTAAGGCATAGTCAACAGTTCTATTTTTTTCCTAGTGGTGAAAGTACCCCAGAAGACACTCCTAATGGATGCTCTCAAGGAAGAATCTGAAATAATCTATGACTTTTGTATGTGCAATCCTCCCTTTTTTGCAAACCAGTTGGAAGCTAAGGTAAAGATATCTTTTGCTTTAAAGTCATTTAGTATTTACCTGAATTTACCCTGTTTACAGAGATAAAAGCAAAGGTACCCTTTCCTTTGGATGCTGTAGTGGAAGCTGTATTGGTTATGATGCTTTTGGCTTGAAGGACTTAAAAACCCACTTCAGATTAACTTAACAGCCAAGAAAGTTTATTGGCTTAGGTATTTGAGAAATAACAGCAGTAGTCTGAACTTCATGAACAATTTGATCAATGAAATCTCATAAAGGCTGAGGCTCTGATTGTCTGGGTTTCTCTTGGCTCTGACCTAGTCCTTAGCTGTTTTTGTTCTCTGGCTGCTTTACTTGTGGGAGAAACAATATCTAGTGAAGTAAGATGGAGAAGAAGGAGCTGTTCTCTCTCCCCAAATCACTGGACATTTGATTGTGTTTTTCTGATGTGACTAACAGGTTGCAGTCACTTTTGCACTGAGCTTATTGGATTAGGGAACTACTATTTTTTTTTTTTTTGGTCTGTCGTGGGGCCTGAACTCTGGGCCTGGGCGCTGTCCCTCAGCTCTTCAGCTCAAGGATAGCATTCTACCACTTGAGCCACAGCACCACTTCCGATTTTTTCTTTTTGCTTATTTGGTGCTGAGGAATCGAACCCAGGGCCTCATGCATGTGAGGTGAGCACTCTACCACTAAGCCATATTCCTAGCCCGGAACTACTCTTTTTTGCTAGCACCTGTTACTTGATGATAAATGAGTAGGTGATTTTATCTTTCCAACTTCAAATGAGGGCTGGGACATGCCTCAAGTGGTACAGCACCTGCCTAGCCAGTTAGAACATTTTCATCAACCCAGGAAAAAAAACCTCTTAGTCATTAGCACTCACTCTTGATTTCTCCCAAGCACCCTGAGGCCTGTCTCTGTAGATCAGCCTGTTGTGGGCTTTCCATATAAATAGAATCATACACTCAGGCCTTTTGTTTCTGACTTCTTTTATGGAGATACAAATATTTCAAGGTTCATCCATGTTTCTTTTGGTTGCCAAGTAATATTCCACCATATGGTTATAACACATGAATTACCTGCTCAGCAGCTAGTAGGTGTTGGTGTTTTCCACCTCTTGGCTCTTAGCAGTGGTACTCTAGCATCCATGTACAGGGTGATCTTTGGACCTAGGTTTTTGTTTATCTTGGCTATAGACCCAGGAATGAAACTGGATCCAATAGTAGGAAGCTCTGTGATTCATTGGTTCAGGAACTGCCAGATAGTTTTCCCATGTGCCTGTGCTACTTTACATTCCTGTAAACAGCAATGCATTAGCATTCTAATTTTCCACATCCTCGTGGATGTCTTTTTTCATTATAGCTTCCTAGTGGGTGGGAAGTAGCATCTTATTCTGGTTTTGATTAGCTTTTTCATGATGGCTGACAGTGCTAAGAATCTTTTCATGTGCTTATTGGCCATTTCTTTAAAATCCTTTGGCAAAATGCCTTTTTAGATCCCTTGCCTCTGACCCTCGTAGCCAGGATGGCAACTTTTTTTTTTTTTTGGTCTTGGGGCTTGAACTTTGGGCTGTCCCTGTGCTCTTCAGCTCAAGGCAAGCACTTTATTGCTTGAGCCACAGCGCCACTTCTGGTTTTCTAGTGGTTTATTGGAGATAAGAGTCTCATGGACTTTCCTGCCCTGGCTGGCTTTGAACTGTGATCTTCAGATCTCAGCCTCCTGAATAGCTAGGATTACAGCATGAGCCACCAGCACCTGGCTTGGGATGACAACTTTTATGGTAGACTGGGTCTTGTGAACTTTTTGCCTGCCCTGGCTTCACACTGTGATCTTTTGGATCTCTGTCCGCTGAATAGCAAGATTACCAGCAGGAGCCTGGCTTTGTTTGTTTTAGTGCAGGCTCTGGAGCTTAGAACTTGGGATGTGGAGGCTGCCTTTTGAGTATTTTTGCTTTAGGCTAGCACTACCACTTGAGCCACAGCTCCACTTCTGGTTTTCTGGTGGCTAATTGGAGATAAGAGTCTCACAGACTTTTCTGCCCAACCTGGCTCTGAACCAGATCTCAGCCTTCTGAGTAGCTAGGATTACAGGTGAAAGCCATCAGCATCTGGCTTTCTTGATGTTGTCCTTTACAATGCAGAGGCTTTTGATTGTGATCAAGTCCAATTTTATCTTTCTTTTTAGTTGTTTTTTTTTTTTTTTTTTTTTGGTCCGGTCGTGGGGCCTGAACTCTGGGGCCTGGGCGCTGTCCCTCAGCTCTTCAGCTCAAGGCTAGCGCTCCAACAATTGAGCCACAGCACCACTTCTGGCTTTTTTCTTTTTGCTTGTGTGGTGCTGAGGAATAGAACCCAGGGCCTCTTGCATGCAAGGCAAGCGCTCTACCACTGAGCCAACTTCCCCGCCCCTTTTTAGTTGTTCTTGTGCTCTTTGTATTGTATCTAAGAAACCACTGGCTAATCCAAATTAATGCAGATTTACTTCTATGTTTTCTTCTGGGTTTTAAAGTTATAGCTCTTACACTTAGGTTGTAGATTGATTTTGAGTTCATTTTTTTTTTCTTTTTCTTTTTCTTTTTTTTGGGGGGGGGGTCTGGTTGTGGGACCTGAACTCTGGGCCTGGGCGCTGTTCCTCAGCTCTTCAGCTCAAGGCTAGTGCTCTACTACTTGAGCCACAGTGCCACTTCCGGCTTTTTTCTTTCTGCTTATGTGGTACTGAGGAATCGAACCCAGGGCCTCAGGCATGCAAGGCAAGCACTCTACCACTGAGCCACCTTCCCAGCCCCGAGTTCATTTTTTTCATATGATATGAAATAAGGATGGGTTAAATACTTAAGTATTTAAAAACCAAAAAATACTAGAAGAAAACATAAGTAAATATTGATTTAATCTTTGGGTAGATTTCCTGTGCCATGGTATCAAGACAGAAAGCATAGAGGAAAAGCAACAGATTGGGCTAATATAAAAAGGTAAAATTTTTTATATTTAATCACAAAGATGAAAGGTAAAGTCTCTAGGGAGGAATATTTGCATGAATGCATTTGTTTAAAGTATAACATTGTACTGGTTATGATTTTTAAATCTTAAGACTAGTGTAATGTTTAGAAAATAAAAGTAGATTTACACTTTGCTACTACAGCTAGATGATACAGAGACTTGCATCTTAAGAGATGTAAACATTTTCATCATGACTTTGTTGTTGTTCAGGGGGTAAACTCTAGAAATCCTCGAAGGCCTCCACCTAGTTCTGTCAATACAGGAGGAATCACAGAGATCATGGCAGAAGGAGGTGAATTAGAGTTTGTTAAAAGGATCATCCATGACAGTTTACAGCTTAAAAAACGATTAAGGTAAGTTAGCTGTTACAATCAGAATATTTATCTTTGTGTAATTCCTAAAGAAACCAAGCCACCCAGAGGAAAAGTAGTCCTAAAGTCTAGAGAATAAACAACTGGCACCAGTGGCTCATGCTTATAATCCTAGCTACTCAGGAGGCTGAGATTTAAGGATCAGTGTTTGAAGCCAGCCTGGGCAGGGTAATCCATGAGACTTTTTTGTCATGGGACTAGAACTCAGGGCCTGGGCATTGTCCCTGAGCTCTTTTGATCAAGGCTAGTGTTCTACCACTTTGAGCCACAGCTCCACCTCCTATGATACGCTTATCTCCCATTACCCACAAAAAAGGCAGAAGTAGAGCTGGGGCTCAAGTAGTAGACTGAAAGCCTTAAGTGAAAAAACCTCAAGGACAGCACTCAGGCCGTGAGGTCAAGCTCTAGCACCAGCACCAAAAAAAAAGAAAAAAGGAAAAAAGAGGTAAGAATGAAAAGGTAGTGAACTCTACATTAGGCAGAGACCCTTTTTCTTGTTTGTTTTTTGTTGTTATTGTTGTTTTGGTTTTTTGTTTTGGTGGTACCTGGGTTTGAAAAGAGGGCCTCACCAATTGCTCAGTGTTCTTGCTTTGCTGGTGCTCTACTATTTAAACCATCAGCCCCACTTACAGGTTAGTTTGAAGATGCCCAGGCTGGCCTTGAGCTTCAGACCTCCAGATCTCAGCCTCATGAGTATCTAGGATTGCAGGCATGATTCACCATTGCCTGGCCCTGCTTTTGATAATGCTCTCTAATTGATGTGTGTTTCCCTAGTCATCTGTACACCACAGATAAAAAGGAGGAAAATACCATATGATTGTATTGCTCCCATTAATATGGTCCTGTGATGGAACAAAACTGTTTAAATATGGCTTTTGATGAGAAAACAGATGGATTCAAATCTGTCCTGTGAACCAGAATAAATTTGTTGCCTAGTCCTTGAAGCAATTTATGTTCTTGGAATCAGTCTTCCAAACAGTGACAGATGTGAGGACAAAGAGCTGTCAAGAACCTAATGAAGGGAAACATAGATCACTAACCAGTGCCCAAAGAGAATTAAAGCTATTCTTTTTCAAAAGCTAATTATTTAGGACAACACACCTGTCATCAAGCAGCATAAGGTACTGAAAAAGGGCTGCTGTCTCTCTTGACTTTGTACCCTGACACATTGTCAACTTGATGGATAATGTAGTTCAATGCTGAAAGAGTTTTTAACCCTAGAATTCAGCTTTTGGGGGGGGGGAGAGAGAGACAGAGTGTGTGTGAGAGAGAGAGAGAGGAGAATGTGTATGTGCGTATAAAATAGACATAACATTATCCCCCCCCTTTTTTTTTTTGGTTGGTTGTGGAGCTTGAACACCCGGGGACTGGGTTCTGTCCCTGAGCCTCTTTGTGCTCGACTCGTTGAGCCACAACACCACATCTGGCTTTTTCTGAGTAGTTTATTAGAGATGAGAGTCTCATGGACTTCTCTGCCAGGTGTGAGCCACTGGTGCCTGACTACATTTACTAGTCTTAATAGTTGTTGTGTTTTGTGGTGCTGAAGATGTAGCCCTGAACCTCATATATGCTAGGCAAGCACCCTACCTATCCTGTCCCATAGTTTTATTGGTATATAGTTTAGTAGTGTGAAGTACGTTCACATTGTTGCACAACCAGTCCCAGAACTCTTCATTTTCCACAGCTCTGACTCTATTCTGTTCCTTCCCTCCTCCCAGCCACTGGCCCCACATTCTTCTTTCTTTTCTATGGATTTGACTTCCTTAGGGGCCTTTGCCTGTAATCCTAGCTGCTCTGGAGGCTGAGATCTGAGGATTGCGGTTCCAAGCCAGTCCAGGCAGGACAGTCTGTGAGACTTTTTTTTTTTTTTGCCAGTTCTGGGGCTTGAACTCAGCGCCTGGGCACTGTCCCTGAGCTTCTTTGGTTCAAGGCTAGCACTCTACCACTTGAGCCACTGCTTATGTGGTACTAAGGAATCGAACCCAGGGCTTCATATATGCTAGGCAAGCACTCTACCACAGTCCCAGCCCCTGTGAGACTCTTTTTTTTTGTGGTCGTGGAGCTTGAACTCTGGGCCTGGGCGCTGTCCCTCAGCTCTTCAGCTCAAGGCGAGCACTCTACCACTTGAGCTACAGCGCCACTTCCGGTTTTCTGGTGGTTTATTGGAGATAGGAGTCTCACGGTCTCTTCTGCCCGGACTGGCTTTGAACCGGGATCCTCAGATCTCAGCCTCCTGAGTAGCTAGGATTACAGGCGTGAGCCACTAGCGCCTGGCCCCTGTGAGACTCTTATCTTCAGTTAATCACAGAAAAATCTGGAAGTTCAAGTGATAGAGCACAAACCTTGAGCAAAAGGAGCTCAGAGCACAAGCCTTGAGCAAAAGGAGCTCAGGAACTGGCAAAAAAAGAATCATTCAGTGACTGACTTCACTTAATATAGTTTTCAAGCTTCAGCCAATGACATAGCATGTCTCAGAATTTCCTTTTTAAAGATACAATATAAATTTTTCCGTGCATGTAAACCATATTTTCTTTGTCCATCCATTGTTGGATTCTTGTTGCTCTTGCCATTTGACTCTTGTGACTGAGTCTGCAGGAGCATGGGTATATAAATAGGGAGTCTCAAGACTGGCAGTTTTTTTTTTTTTTTTTTTTTGTCGGTCGTGGGGCTTGAACTCTGGGCCTGGGCGCTGTCCCTCAGCTCTTCAGCTCAAGGCGAGCGCTCTACCACTAGAGCTATAGCGCCACTTCCGGTTTTCTGGTGGTTTATTGGAGATAGGAGTCTCACGGTCTCTCCTGCCTGGGCTGGCTTTGAACTGCGATCCTCAGATCTCAGCCTCCTGAGTAGCTAGGATTACAGGCGTGAGCCACCAGCGCCCGGCTAAGACTGGCAGTTCTTGAGCCATCAGTTCTTCTGTCTGTATGCCCAGATGCACATTGCTGGAGAGGGAAGATTTTTTTTTTTCCCTATAAGTATCTAAAGCTGCTTATTTTAAGCACACTCGCACACACCTAACTCTCACTGAGGCCAGCCTGGGCTACTTAGTGAGGCACTGATCTCATGCCTGTAATCCTAGCAACTCAGGAGGCTCAGATCTGAGGATTACAGTTCAAAGCCAGCCCAGTGTATCACTGAGTTTATTTAAATGTTTGTGGAAAGCAGCTTGACTATTGTGATTTGTCCCTTAGAAAAGTTCCATATTACTGATGCCAAAAGTTAAAGATATTTTTGCTTTAATTGATTTTTTTTTTTTTCTCCTTATCGTGGGGCCTGAACTCTGGGCCTGGCTGTTGTTCCTCAGCTCTTCAGCTGAAGGCTAGCATTCTACCACTTGAGAGTCAGCCCCACTTCCAGCTTCTTCTGCTTATGTGGTGCTGAGGAATCAAACCCAGGGCCTCATGAATGCAAGGCAAACACTCTACCACTGAGCCACCTTCCCAGTCCAAGCTTGATTGTTTTTTAATAGAATCTTATACTTAATGCCTAGGCTAGCCTGTACCATGATCCTCCTATTTATATACTTCCTATATAAGCTGGATGGCAGGTATAGCACTACTTTGCATAACATTAACTTTGGTTGAAATGGAGTCTTAACAAACTTTTTGTCCAGGCTGGACTCAATCTGAGATTCTCCTGATCTCAACCTCCTGAATAGCTAGAAATAGTCATGAACTATTGCTCCTGGTTTTCTACTTACTAACACACACACTCACTCACACGCACTCCCCCCCCCCCTTTGCCCCCCAAGGATTTAAACTCAGGGCCTTCTTTGCATCAGCTGATACTATTTGAGCCACACTTTCAACCCTTAATAAAGGTTTTTTGGGAGTTTTTTTTTGCCCGGTGTGGGTGGGAGGTTGGTGGTACTGGTGTTTGAACTCAGGACCTCATGCTTGTTCACCTTGCTTGCTTAGCTGGTGGTGTACCATTTGAGCCATGTCTCCAACTTCTGGCATTTGAAAGAAATGGAGCCATCTGGAAAATGAACTGTAGATGGCTCTTTTCAGCTACAATCTTCTTGAGCTCTTGTTTGTTTTTAGGAGACTTAAATAATAAATTTCCAATGTGTCCTGAGTTTTGTGAGCTGCTGATACCTTGCCAGTTTTCCCTTTTTGATACGCATAATTAAATCTTCATTTTTCCTTGACCTAAAGGATTTTTGGGTTTTCACTAAACTTGTGATTTTCATTGTTCTCCATTTTCTTTGTGTTTTTCCCTTCATTGTTTCTGTTCTAATCTTTATTATTTCCTTTCTTCTTAGTTGGATTTAATTAGCTCTTGTTCATTTGCTTTGCACCTCAAATCAACTGACTCTCCTGAGTTCCCATGTCAGCCCACCAGGCTCATCAGGACTGCTATTCTGTTTGGTTAACTTTCCTTACACCTCAGCTAGTGCTCTACTTTAAGCAGCAAGTACTGGCCCCTATAGGACTACCCTGGTTGGTTTCTTTTTCTGGGGTTGTAAGTGTGCTAGCAGTTGTCCAGTATCTGAAAAACAGTTTCTATATATTTTGTTCAGTCTCTAATTGAAGAACAATTCCTGTAGAACTAATACTTTATGGGCTAAAGTGCTACTTAGATTTTATATTTTGCAAAACTTTTTGAATAATCAGAAGAAATAAATTCTCTTATCTCTTTACCTTGCAGCCAGTTTCCCCAACATCGCCCACTCCATTTTTGGATTAGTGTTTATATAAAACAGATTGATTCCATAATCTGTTGCAGACATAATGTACTAATGAACCTTAAATTCTGCAGATCTGGGCTAATAGGTGATCAGGCAGGACTTTATAAGTTCTCTTATTATGGGGTAGGGGTTGTTTATATGCATTTTTAAAATTTATTGATTAATTTCTGCCCTAAGGCTAAGTGGCCTTTATTTTGAGTGTGACAGATACATCTTCTTCAGTCTCTTTTTAGACACTTAAAGCCTCAATGTAGTGCAGAGGCTAAGTGGGTTGATGTTCTTCATGTTGCTTTGGGTAACACATTAAGCACATTATCTACTGTTTTCATCTTGTTCCGTTGGATAATGCTTAGTTCAGAAGTGTCACCACAAACTGGCTGATTTTTTTTCTTAGATGGTATAGCTGTATGCTGGGGAAGAAATGCAGCCTGGCTCCACTAAAGAAAGAGCTTCGCATCCAAGGGGTAAGGCTTTGTTTGGCATTACCATTCTTTTTTTTCTTTTTTCTTTTTTTTGGTCTGGTCGTGGGGCCTGAACTCTGGGTCTGGGCGCTGTCCCTCAGCTCTTCAGCTCAAGGCTAGCGCTCTACCACTTGAGCCACAGCGCCACTGCCGGCTTTTTTCTTTTTGCTTATGTGGTGCTGAGGAATCGAACCCAGGGCCTCAGGCCTGCAAGGCAAGCGCTCTACCACTGAGCCACCTTCCCAGCCCTGCATTATCATTCTTGAATAGCTACTTTTTTTTCTTTTGAGACAAGGTCTTGCTAATAGCCCAGGCTGGTCTGGCCTCAAACTTGAAAACTCCCTACCTCAGCCTCTTGAGTGCTGGGATTGCAAGTATGTACCACCCACTATACTTGGCTCTTTTTTTCAATTGGTCTTGAAGTTTGAACTCGGGGTCTGACACTGTCCCTGAGCTCTTTTGCTCAAGGCTAACACTCTATCACTTGAGCCACAGTGTCACTTCCAGTTTTTGAGAGTCCCATGGCAACTTTTATACCCAGGCTGGCTTTGAACCACAATCCTCATATCTCAGCCTCCTGAGTTGCTAGGATTACAAGTATGGGCCACCAGCTCCTGGCCTACTTGAATCTTTTTACAAATAATTCCCCAATTATTTCTTCCCCCAGTTACTTTCTTTCTCCTGTTTGGACCTTTGAGCTAGATCTGTAAATTCTAATGCATTACCAAAGGCAAAAACAAAACAGAACCAATGCATTCATTGTCAGGCAGCTATGTAAAACAATTTTTAAAAAATAATAGTGCTTGTTAACAAAAAGGACCAAGGGAAATAGGCAGAAACATTGATAAGCACTTCATTCAGTTTAATTGAGATGCTGTGTGTTTTGGTTTCAGGTTCCTAAAGTCACCTTCACTGAGTTCTGTCAAGGTCGGACAATGCGATGGGCTTTAGCTTGGAGTTTTTACGATGATGTCACTGTACCAGTAAGTAGAGACTTTGCTTCGCCTTCTCCACATGCCAGCACATGGTGGCCAGTGAGCTAAATCTGCATTGTCCCATTTCCCTTAATATGCCCCTAAATGCTTACGGCCATAAACAAGACACAGCCCTAGAGCTGGTGTAGTGCAATGGAACCTTCCTCTGGGTTTATGCCACAGTGACCCTTGTTAAACAGGTAGAAAGAAACACATCTTAGGGATTAGAAATGCAGATAAGGTAGCCTGGAGGAACACTTGGAGGTATGTGATCCTTCTCCTCTGGAAAGGAAATTGAAATCTGTATCATTGCCTTTACCACTGCTCCTTTCTCAGAGAAGCAGCTTCCTGGGGCTCCTAGGGAATTTACAAGTTGCCAGTTGGTTGCTGCCTTCTCTTTTGTTCTTGCTCTCTCTCTTCCTTTTTCAATGTTGGGCATTGAATCCAGAGCATCACATACACTAGACAAATGGTCTGCACCTGAGCTGCAGCCAGCTGTAGTACTTGTGTCCCTCTCACATATAACTCAGGGATCATCCTGTTAGAGTGGAGAGTGTCACTGGTACCGGGCACTGATGGTTCATACCTGTAATGCTAAACTCAGAAGGCTGAGATCTGAGGATTATGGCTTGAAGCCAGCTGGGGCAGGAAAGCCTGTGAGACTTATCTCTTAACTGCCAAAAATCTGGAAATTGAACTGTGGTTCAAAGTAGTAGAGTGCTAGCCTTGAGCACAAAAGCTCTGAGTTCAAGCCCTAGGACTGAAAAATTAAAAAATTAAAAAAGATTACCACTAGGATAGATGTTGAACAGTATTGAATGTGGATCATTATTCTGTTTTCTCTACTTTGTATTTATCGTTTTATGGAATGAATTTTTAAAAAGTAATCGTTTCCTCGCCGGGTGCTGGTGGCTCACGCCTGTAATCCTAGCTACTCAGGAGGCTGAGATCTGAGGATCACGGTTCAAAGCCAGCCCGGGCAGGAGAGACTGTGAGACTCCTATCTCCAATAAACCACCAGAAAACCGGAAGTGGCGCTGTAGCTCAAGTGGTAGAGTGCTGCCTTGAGCTGAAGAGCTGAGGGACAGTGCCCAGGCCCAGAGTTCAAGCCCCATGACTAGTGCAAATAGATAGATAGAAGATAGATAGATAGATAGATAGATAGATAGATAGATAGATAGATAGATAGATAGATAGATAGATAGATAGATAGGTAGATAGGTAGATAGGTAGATAGGTAGGCCAGGCATGGTGGTACATGAAAAGCTGAGGCAGAGGATTGAGAGTTTGAGGCCAGCTTGGCTATATAATGAGACCCTGCCTTGTAAGAACTGTCTCATGGCCTCTTAGCTGGCCACCTGGGTGGTTTTCTGGGCTGCCCTGGGAGGCGGTGATGGAACAGCATGTGTTTATTCTCTCTCTTCCCCCTTAAAGTAGACTTGTGTAGCTATGGCCACCCACCTTAAGCTTGTGCACAACCAGTCAGTGAATCCTTCTTCCCATGGTATGTGTATGAAGGCCTGTATCTGCTCCTGCATGCTTCTGTCCCTAGTCTGAACATCAGGATTCATCTGGGGACTCTTCTTCTAAGATCTTAGCCCAATTTTTTGGTCCCTAAATCCATCTTGATGATGTCATGTTTCTGAGTCTCTCCCCCTACTCTCATAGGACAGAGGAGTAGAGGTATGTGGAACTCACCATGTTTCTGGTACTACCATGTTTCTAGAGACATCTGCTCAGACCCAGATGAGCCCAAGCCCATCCTTCACTCTGCAGCCTGATGTACTGCTGAATCACAGTCAGACCCTCTCCCAAGGTTTTGGGGTTTTTTTTTTGGTTGGTCGTAGGGCCTGAGCTTTGGGCCTGGGCGCTGTCCCTCAGCTCTTCAGCTCAAGGCTAGCTCTCTACCATTTGAGCCACAGTGCCACTTACAGCTTTTCTGCTTATGTGGTGCTGAGGAATCTAACCCAGGGCCTCATGCATGCACTGAGCCACCTTCCTAGCCCCCCTCTCCCAAGTTTGAATGGCCTTTTTATGAAAACTTGATTCTCTTCGATGGTGCAGTAGGTGTCATTCGTTGGTGCTAGGCATGATGGTGCATGTTTGTATTCATAACACTTAAGGAAACTAGCATTGGGTTGGAGGGAAGAAAGTTTAAAGTCTGCCTGGAGCTACATAGTAAGTTCAAGGCTAGCTGGAGCTATGTAAATAACAAGACCTTGTCTCATACAACACACACAAGAAAGAAAGGTCAATGATTAAAAGATGCCTCTACTTTTCTGTCCCCCTTTATCTATTACACTTTCCGTTGTTTCCTAGAATACCAGGGCTTTCACAGTAGGTGGATAAAATCTTCAGCAATGCCCTAACTTAGTCCTGTGCCGACATGAACAGCTATAGGAACATGGGGCCACACCAGGTTCTGAATGTTTTGTGTTTAGCCTGCATCTGGAAGAGCTGATAATGGCTCTGGTAGTCTGCATCAGCCCAGTCTAGTCTCCTTTGCCCTCTCGGGTTAGTTACCATCATGGATCCAAGTGTTAAGACTATGTTTCTTTTTTTGTTCAGTTGTGGGGCTTGAACTTAGGGCCAGGGCACTGTCCCTGAGCCTTTTCTCTCAAGGCTAGTGCTCTATCACTTGGAGCCACAGTGGTACTTCTGGTTTTCTGTTGGTTAATTGGAGATAAGAATCTCATGGGGGGGGGGGAGTTGAGGAGGTAGAAAGGGAAGGAATAGTAGGGGAAAAACAAAGGAAGGGGATACCTTACTCACATAACTGCAACCCTTCTGTACAGTATCTTTACATTAAAAAAAAAAAAAAATCTCATGCTCTTTTCTGCCCGGGCCAACTTTGAACTGTGATCCTCAGATCTCAGCCTCTTGAGTATCTAGGATTACAGGTGTGAGCCACTGGCACATGGCCAGGCTATGTTTCTATGTTAATCTTGTTTTGAAAAGGAACCCTTGAGTCTTCCTTCTGCTTTTAGGGCAGCCTGTAGTTTGCAGCCAGCAAAAATACCTCTGGCTAAGGCCTCAGATTCCTCTCTTGCTGCTGGAGTATTCCCCCCTCCCTTCCACTGCTGCTACCCCCCAAGCTGTTAATAATGCATTCCCAAGTGCTCCATTAGATGCACTTAAACTGCTAAGGGAAAATGGCAATTTCTGATTTGTAGTAACCCAGCAACAGTTTCTTAGCACTGGTGCTAAGATCAGTGACTACTTTCCCTGGGGTAGTTTGAGGTTACTTGTGAGATTTTGGTTTGGTTTTCTTGTGGTTCTTCTTCCCTCCACTTAAACCTTGTCTGATTTTTTTTTTTTTTAAGCTCACCTGACTTTCCCACGCTTTTTGGAGATTGGGAAGGAGGAAGGCACTATTTTACACTAGGAGATAAGGAATAGAGCTAGTTAAGCAGAAATATTGACCTACTTCCCCACCCCCATCTCTGCCATTTTAGGTTAGATGTGCAAGTTACTATGGCAACTTGTATTTTCACTTATCTCAGGACTACTGACTGTTTTCTGTTGATGCTGAATGCTGAACAATTCGAATTCACTGTGATTTGAGTGGTTGCACTAAGCCCATTGCTGTTGTCTGGATTTATTTTAGCAACAAAAAGACAGATCCTAGTGTTGATGGAATTTTTGTGCCATCATTCTGATGGATGCTGAATGTAAGGACTGTTCTTTATAGTGTTCTATCAAGATTCTCTCTCAAAAAGCCTCTTTGTCCTGTTCTCTAATTGCCCAAGGCAATATTTTAGCTTTGCCTTGGTTTGCTTTAAGGAATTTAGATACTTGCTAAAGGCCGACGAATAGTTCTATTAATTTGTGTACTCCTGGAGTGAGCATTACCCAGGAACTCAAGTTTTAAAAGAATTATTGTGTGTTCAAAATCTTCCCCTTAAGGCTTAGATTTTCCTGTGTAGGGAGTAATAGCCAGGCTTTTTAGTGACCAGATGGAGGGAGGAGGCAAGTTAGGTAAACATGTGAGTGTCGGAACTGGGGTCTCTTGGTAGTGCTCTATACATTTTCAAGCCAATACCACTGAAGTACACATCAGATTCATTCTTTGGATTTTTTTTTTTTGTCGGTTGTGGGCCTGAACTCTGGGCCTGGGCACTGTCCCTCAGCTCTTCAGCTCAAGGTTAGCCCTCTACCACTTGAGCTACAGCACCACTTTCGGTTTTTTCTGCCTATATGGTGCTGAAGAATCGAACCCAGGGCCTCATGCATGCAAGGCAAGCGCTCTACCACTGAGCCACCTTCCCAGCCCTGGGTTTGTTTTTTTAATCAGAGCTTATCTGCTTTTATCAATTTCAGATGCTGATTTTATTTGTTGAAAAGGTTTTGTTGAGAAATGGTTTGGGCTGAGGGCTACTCAGGAGGCTGAGACTTGAGGATTCCAGCTCGAAGCCAGCCTGGGCAGGAAAGCCCATAATACTCTTTATCTCCAATTAATCACACAAAAAAACTAGAAATAGAGCTATGACTCAAGTGGTAGAACACAAGCTCTGAGTGGAAGCCCCCAGTACCAGCATACCAGCACATAACCTTCTCCTCCCCCCGCTCCCCCTCTCTGCCCTCCTTCCATTAAAAAAAAAAGGTTTAAAAGTGATGGCCTAAGCCAGGCGCTGGTGGCTTATGCATGTAATCTTAGCTACTCAGAAGGCTGAGATCTGAGGATCGTAGTTCAAAGCCAGTCCAGGCAGGAAAGTCTGTGAGACCCTTGTGTCTAATTAACCACCAGTAAACTGGAAGTGGTGCTGTGGCTCAAGTGGTAGAGTACTCGCCTTGAGCTGAAGAGCTCAGGGACAGTGTCCAGGCCCAGAGTTCAAGCCCCACGACTGACCAAAAAAAAAAAAAAAGTGATGGCCTAGCAACCACAAGGCCCTGAGTTCAATTCCTAGTACCACAAACAAGCAAGTAAACAACAAAAAAACCTCAAAACAAGAGATGGTTTAGGAATTGGAGTAAATGGCTCAGTGGTAGGGTATTTGCTTGGCATACAT